CTCTAGCCCAGGCAACACAGTGAGACTCTGTCTCAAAAAAAAAAAAAAGAAAAAGAAAAACTGGAAGCAAATCCTCTGTCTGCCAGAAAAATATAAAACCATACCCAGACCAATTACATAAGTAAAAAACGTGAAAGCAGAGAAGAAAAACACGCTTTTAAAATACATTTGGAACGGACGCCAGGACTCTGTCTGCCTGATGCAAACCCAGTGGCTGTACAGAAAATATTAATATATGTTAACTGTTCTAAAATGTGTAATTTCTCTGAGGTTGAATGCAAAAACCCAAAAGGCAAGTGACAAAACGACAAAAATAATATTTACAGGACATATGACAAGAATCCAATTTTCTTAATATAAAAATTATGAATCAACAGGAAAAGGGTAGCCCATCTGATGAAATGAAAGGCTAATGAGCACGTAAAACTGCTCAACCGCACTGATCACTGAAGAAACACACGTGTGAAGACGTGCCCACACTGCTCGCGAGGCCAACAAAGTGGAAGTTATACATGAATAACGAGACAGTTCCATCTGCATTTTAAAACCACGCTTCTGTACAGAAAACACTTCTGGAAGAAGCGGGACTGAATGACGGCAGCAAGGGCCTCCGCGGAGCAAGGGCAGGTTTCCGAGGCGCTTTCTTTTCTCCCTTCTCAATTCTTTGCCCCATGTAGCACACGTAACCCCACTACGCACGAGAAACCAAGGCCCACGCACAAACTCCATTTGGGCACAGGGCAACGGGACCCTGATCCCCGGAAAAGGCACGTGGACGGCGCCCACTGAATGTGTACCAGCAACGCCCCCGTGTGGCCCAGGCGCTCTCAGGCCGCCTCACCTTGTCGTCCCTCTTGCTGGGGACAGCCAAGTGCAGTCTGTTCAGCACCTCGTTCACCTTGTTGCCCTTCATTTTGGTTTCCACTCGATGAGCCAAAAGCCTGTCGCAAGCCTCTGTTTTCACTTTAATGACACCTTCCTCAGTCAGCGTGCTGGTCTCTATCACAGGGAAGCCTTCAGCCTGCAAACCTATAAATATTTTCTGGAAACACAGAGGAGAAATTACAGCTGCATCATTATTTCCAGTTCCCTATGGAGCAAGTTGTTCTGCTCTGCAAATGAAGGCTGCAAATGCTAATTGTTCAACATCTCTGACTTGTTTTGATAACTCTTGAAGAACAGACATCTCCTAAAAAGTTATTTTTCTGTATATCCTTCTGTGATTAAGAAAATACAAATGAGTAACAGTGCGAAGTCAGCAAGATGGCCAACGAGAAGCTCCTCAAAAACAGTCAGAACAGTGAGTAAACCACTACATTTTCACAAAGAACTAACGGAGGGAGAGCACCAGAGTGCATCAGAGTAACAGAGAGCCCCGCGAGCACAGAAATACAGGCCCGAGGCGGGAGGATTGCTTGAGCTCAGGAGTTCAAGACCAACCAGAGCAAGAGCAAGACGCCATCTCTAAGGAAAACAGCACTCCAGGCTGGGCAACAGAGCAAGACTCTGTCACCAAAAAAAAAAAAAATAGAGTACCAGTCAAGAAACCTGCGTTTTAGTTTGACACTAACTAGATTTTTATAAGGTCCTGTCACCAAACCACTGAGGTTATTATCTCAACTGTAAAATTAAATACTAGACTAGCATTGCTAAAATTCCTTCTTCTAAACTTTGGCTGTCTGAGATGACATTCACAATTACTAAGTAAGAAATACGCAAAATGCCAGGGCGACATACCTGATCATCTTCAGAAAGTTCAGCTATTCTCTTCACATCACATTTGTTTGCTACAATTATAAGAGGCTGGACAAGAAAGAAAAATAATGAAATTATTACTTTCATGCTACAAGCTATAAAGTGAACTATGAGTCACCACACTCACCTTGTTGACGAAGAGAGGTCTGATGTTCTGGAAGAGTTCCAGCTGCTCTTTCAGCCCATGCCCACACTGCTCGGACAGATCCATCACGTACAGGACCGCAGCGCGGAGATGGGCCAGGGCCGTGATGGCCTGCATCTCGATGGTGTTCCGATCCTCCAAAGGGTGATCCAAAATCCCCGGAGTGTCGACAACCTAATGACCAGACTTCGTTACTCGAAACATACTCGCTCACGACTCCTCGTCCAGTACATCCCAGAAGTATTTGCACAGACCCAAACCACACCTAACAAGACCTGTAAATAAAACGTAGGTCTCCCAAACTGAACATGATCAAACTAACACGGCAGTGAGAGAAAAGTACATACTCTTTCTTACGCTGACATAATGCAGAAACCTGTACTAGCAGCTGGGGTTCCCCCTAAATTGTATCGGAAACGTGAACTGCCTTTACAGAGCCCCAAAGCTCACACGAGTTTCCTTTATGGTGATGGAGAAATTTCAAGTTAGGGGTGACTTCAGGGAATCTATTTTCCCCTCCTCAGAATCCTCCCTAGAGGACGCTGCACACAGCGGACTCTATGCAAAGTACATCATGAAATGTACGAAACTATAGTTCTTTAGAAATTATCAGAATAGAATTCCCTTAACACACCGAGATGCTTGTCCTGCTCACAGACCAGAGTCTCACCTGCCAGCGCAGATACTTGTAATCCATGTGCCCAACAAACAGGGACTTGGTCGTGAACGCGTAGGGCTGGACGTCCACGTCTGCTCTCGTCACCTTAAACAAAGCAATCAAGCCTGCACATCACACAAGTCCTGCACCTCATTTCCTCTCCGTGTAAACATGGCACCTACATGTTAACAAGACTAACTTCTGTTAAAAAAAAACCACACAAAAGAAACCTCACACCATGAAACTGCGTCAGGCAGCAGTTACCAACTTCGATAAATGAACGGCCTGTCACCAGTGGGCCGTGACTCCGGCAGCGGGACGGTGCACGAGGACCCGGTATCCAGAGGCGGCCACCACCTCCTCTCATGCCCCGCTCCTGCCCCACCACCCGCGCTGCCCAGCAGAGCCGTGACGACGGAAGCCTCTGTCTGCACTGTCCAGGCAGGGTCTACAGCCTCCCACCGCTAACAACCTCTCGATATGTGGCTCATGACTAAGGAGGTGAATCTTTCACTTTGTTTAATTAAACTACATTTTAAAAGCTATGTGGGCCAGTGGCCACCGTACCAGCCACAAAGCACTGGCCGCAGGAGGTTCCATGCTGACAGGCATTAGAAACGCCAGCGAGGACCCCGCAGAGCTGTGCTTGTCCCCACGTCCTGGCAACCTGTGAATAAAATGAAACCTACAAATCTGCTTCAGAGCAAAAGTGCTCTGGGAACCAAGTCGGCCGTAACATCAGACAACTTTCTCAGCAGGTGAGCTGCCGCTAGCGGTAAATCCACATTTTAAACACCACCTCTCCTCTTCTCTGGTCCCTCGAGCTCAGCCAAACTGTCCTGAAGCACTGAAATACCGAGTCCCCTAAATGTCACTCATGAATCCTAATTAATAAATTCACCCACATAAAGAAAGACTCAGTAACTGACCCCCATGTGGACCACGTAGCTCACGTGGAAGGTGACACAGCGGCCGAGGCCACAGATCCCCCAGGGCAGCAAGAGGCCCAGCTCGGCGAGTGCCGTCTGCCATGGAGCTCCCTGGCACAGCCACCACCAGGACAGGCTGACAACACCCCCATGACACCCACGCGTCAACAAAAACGCACTCGCATGTCTAAGAACTGGAAGTAACAGTTCTGCGAGATCGATATGAATATAGGTTCAAAGCGCCAATCCTCCCTGAGAGGAAGGCAGGCGTGCTCACGGGTCAGGTCCTGCAGCCCAGGGCCACGTCTACCAAGCCCATCCTAAACCCCACGAATGACCTAAGACGGCCAGATCATCTGCTTTATAATCAAAAATAGACCAACCTTGTTGATGAAGCTGGACTTCCCAACGTTTGGGTACCCACACAAAAGCAGAGTCCTCGTGTTTGGATCAATGGTTGGCAAACGGGATAAATGCTGACGCACTATGAAAGTTTAAATTGAAAAGTTAAGAAGCTCCAAGTTTAAGATTTGCTTGAAATTTTCTCTTCAACTTAGTTACACTCCAAGCCTGTGGTTATATTAACCCCACTCCAACTTTCGTAATACAAAAGTGATGGGGAAAATATAAATTAATGAAAAAAAAACAGATTAGTTGCAGAGACTAATGGTATATACAAGGTATGTGCAATAGTATTTCCCATGTTTGGCTATACCAAGAAGCATATTCCTAGACCTTATCCAAGCTGGTATTTTGACAACAGGTCAGAAGTGGGGCCAAAAACACATCCAGATGATTCTCACTGAGGTGACACCTGAAGAACAGTGTACTTTGAAGCCTGCATGTGTGACTTTCCAGCTACAACAGGGGCCTGTTCTGTTTAATCACTCCATCTGCAACAAAAAGCTCCCAAGCGGCACCCACTGGCTACCAAAGACCACGATGACCTGTAGGATGGCACTCAAAAAGCATCAGGTATCATAAACCTGGTTAAAAATTATGTGCAAGATGCAGAAGGAGGGAGAACAAACCAAACGAGTCAAAATCATCTGTAGCGTAAAAATACATGCAAGGAAGAAGGCAAGTAATTGTTCCAATAAAATCCTACTACACTGATTCAGAAATTGTCCTACTAAGCTTTTAAAGAATAAAAATTTCAATAGGCAAACCTATGAGCCATTGTATTTTTATATGCTTTTCAGTAATTTCTCATGACTTTTGTCTATGCCTTACCTATCAAATAGGAGAAACATAAATTTTCTTAATCATGCCAATAATTTATAAGCATAAGTGCTAGGCATTTTTTCAATAATAACTAGCTGATTAGAATTTCTTATAGGTCAGCCTAGGAACAACAACTTCACGCTGTCAACTCTGAAACAGAACAGGAACGCAAATCTCCAGCGTGAGTCCTCAGCAAGGACCAGTCATCTTAGCAGAGCGCAGAGAACTGCTCCCGCAGACAGACGAGCACCTTGTTCCAGGTACTCCAGGCTCTGCTTCTGTCTCTTGATCACGGTGCACATGCGCCCCAGGGCGGCCCGCTTCAGCTGCTTGCAGCGGTAGAGGGAGTCGCCGTACTTCATAAGCCGCACGTAGTCTTTAGCGACACTGAAAAAAATAAAAACATTAAGCTTTTTTTCACTTTTGATAAAAACGTCAAAGATACTATAGTAAAATAATACCTTACTTGTCCACTAGATTTTTGGCAATATTTATTTGTCCTAGAGCCAACTTGTAATGATCCTTGTCGTAGAGAATATTCATCAAATCGGCATAAAACGGGTGGATGTCCTGTAACAAACAAAACACACACAGCAGTCGTTTCGGTCCAACAGCCTTGCACCCCCACCTACAAATACCACCTGTAGAGTAACTTCCTTCTTCTCTCTCCTCAAGCCTGCAGCTTCTCTTCCCCAGTCCCCTCTCCTGGCCAGAGACCCTGCCAACCGGTCCTGAGAAGCCACGAGCAACAGAGGAAGGCAGGTGCCCACAGGCAGTAGGGAGGTCCTCTGTCCCGTGTGGTAGCAGAGCCCCAGCCCACCTGCGTCCCCACTGCTCAGGATTCAGCCAGAAACTCTTTCCTCCGCCTGGCCATTCCCATCCTTCCTCAGACTTTAAATTCCTCACCCTTCCAGCTCTCTGCGCCATCTCCCTGCACAGATACCTGCTCCCCTACACAGCTTCACTTCTTTCATCTGACACATTGTGTATTTTCACGTCTACTCTCTTCCCCACTGGAATGTAGACAGGAACTGTCACTACTGCCAAATCCCTAGTGCTCACGGCAACTCAGAACGGTTCCCGACACATAACAAGCACTCGGTGAACGACAACTTAATCTCGCTCCGCTCAGGCAAGTGCCTGACCTCTGGCAGCATTTCTGACTTTTATTTTCACTGTATTTTTTAACATAAGTCATTATTACTATTTTAAATATAAAAGAAAACACTGTCACATAAGCCAACCCTTTTCTCTCTGCCATCGCCCACCTTCAGGGACTATTCTTCAGGGGCAGTGGTGAATTTAGGCTCTAGGACTGCACTGCTGATCCCCACACCCTTCGCAACCTCAAACAACCCTGCAACCACGTTACCCGACGCAGGAACGTCCCGAGACTCTGTTAAGAGGCGCTGCCAAGCAGTTTCTGCTCTTGCTTTTCTACAGCTGAAGAAACAGACAAACTGCAATACGCAGCAGAGAAGGAGCTCGGCTTTTCTGGCTCCGTGCAGAAGGCACGGCTCCCCATGTGATCTCTTCTTGCCAGCAAGGAAACCCGTCAGTGCCGAACTGGCCGTCATGAGATGATGAAGCAATGAGATCGCAGTGGACCCTAAGCCACTGACCCAGGTTGAGCCCAGAGGAAACAGAAGCGTTGGAAAGAGGGAGGAGGTGAGGCCCAGACGAGCCAGTGAGCTGCCAGAGGGCCCAAGCGAGCACTGGAGTTCACGACCCATGGCTTTCCCTGAGAGGTTACAAGAAGGCCTGAGAAGACAGTGGTGGGCCTCCTTAGGTGGGGCTTGGCGGGGGACAGAAAGAATATGAAGCAATCCTGAAACCCACATTCTGTTCCGCTTTGTCACTAACTTACTGAGTAGCCTCTGACAAGTCCATCAGTTTGCTTCCCTTCCCTTTCTGTCAAATGAGAAGCCAAACTGGCCACACACTGATTCTCTGGAGGCTCATGTTTGCATAAACATACATAAGCACACAAGTACCCAGAGTCACTTACGTCCAATTTGGGGAAATCTGTTAGAATTTGAGAGAGTCTGTCATGGTAATTCTGTTGAGTAAATTTGACTTTTCTCATGTAAAAATGTCTAATTCGATGAATTTGGTAATGTTTATGAATAACTGTTGGAGTCTTTCGTTGAGTCTTCGATAACGTCAGGTCAATAAAGTCCTGCAATAAAAAGAAAATAAGATACAATTATACCAAAAATGTCTACTTTTCATCCACTTACCCCAAACCTTAAAACACTAATATCTAACAGTATTTGAAGCTACAAAAATTTACTTTGTCTAACTCAATCTTTTATATACAACTTTGTTCATCTTTAGTTTCCGGCCTTTAAGAAACACTTACCAAATGGCTGCAGGTAAAAAGTAAATTTTACCCTGTACTTTCTTGATGCCATCTTACTTCCAAATACCTAAGAACCTTTGAAACTTAAGTAGTCAGACAATTTAAGCATAAATCAGAATACTGAAGAAAAAGAAACAGTCCTTCAATTTCAAGTTTAACATGCATATCTTTGACTCTGAAACTACATAAAGTAACAGGTTAAACTAAAATTCACTGTTTATAATTTCCACCCAGCGCAAATGCTGGTGCTTCTGTACGACAAGGATCCACCCCAGGCTCCCCCAGTCCCACGTTCCTAGCCACACAGAAGCACTTGACTTTCCCTTGAACACTTTCGCTAACTCCCGCAAAGGATGACAGGAACACTCAGGTGCTGAAGAGAAAATAACGAACAAGACACTGTCCCTTCCTCAGGGTCCAGTGACAGAGAGCAGTGAACAGGTGGTCACCACAGTCTGCCAGGTACTGCACTGTGAGAGGCCCACACGGGAGATCCCCTCTGCACACTTCTCCACCCGATGGAGTTTACACAACCTTAAGGGGACAGTCTGAAAGTCACCGACGTCATAAGGTTTCCCTGACACTCTTACAGAGCCAACCACACTCTTCTTTCTCCCAAATCCACCTGTGTCCTCCATTACGAATGTAGCGTTTCTGGAGTGGTTACGAGTGTTTCCACTTACCGCTCTAGAAACTGTCTTTCGAAAAGGCAGATACTGTATCTTACGCATTTTTGTAACCATGGTACCTGGCAAACTCACTCTTCACCTAGCCACTTCTAGAATGAACTGAATCCCCTACTTTCCTGCTGTGATTTACCAGAGTATGACCATCACCCACGTTTTAGACCAGGAGACTCCTCTGTCCTCTAGAAATGCAAACCTCACTGCAGAGAACAGAAGATGGACGGTGTACTGCTAATGTACTTCAAAGTTCTCCGCGTGGGTCTTCGTATGAACCAAACAGCTCTAGTCCAGATAAAACACAATTTTTGTGCAAATTCCTTCAACAAACTTGAGACGGTCGAGAAATTAGCATGAGGACCAAAAATACAAATAAGACATGATTCCTACGCTCAAAAATACTACAGTCTAGCAAGAGATGTGCCAGAATGATTGTCAGGAAGCGAGAAACGATGGAGAGAAGTGGTGGAACGATTCTGTTATGAACATAAAACACGAGTTCCTGACAAGCTCGTTCCAGCGCTGAGACCCGAAGAAAAGGAGATGCTGATGCGAAAACATCCACGTTGCAGCACCGTGCGCGCCGCAAAACACGTGTTGCCAGGTCATGCTTTCGCTCACTTGATTACAACCAGAATCCAGCGTTCACCCCCATGAAAATGTGACTTCTTAAAAGCTCTAATATCCAATGCTTTTTCGACTCGCTCTTGCTAAACCGACAAACGCTATAAACATTTAGTCTGGCCCTGCCCTGCCTGAAAAGAACTTCGTCCCCAAACCCAATAGTGAAAGAGAATGATTTAAAAAATAAGAAATGTTAAATTACGAGAGAAAAGGGGGCTACAGTGAGCCCAGAATCCGAAAGCTCGTCACCGACCACGGGGACCTTCCTCCCTCGCAGGTCGGGGTCCCCCTCCACACACCTGTCCCCTCTGGCGCTCCTGCAGGGAACCCTACTCTGGGGGCCTCTGTCTCGGGTGTATCCCAGGCTCTGGTGGACTCTGGTGTCGGGTGGACCCGGCCCCTGGGTGCAGCCTGGTCTCTGGAAGGGATCCTGGTCTTTAGGGGCCCGGATCTCGAGGGAACCCCGGTCCCTGTCGATGGATCCCGATCCCTAGAGGCCTCCAGTCTCCAGACGTCCCCGGTCTCTGGGGGCCCCAGTCTATGGGGTTGATCCCAGTCTCTAGAGGGACCCCGGTCTCTGGGGTGGACCCCGGTCTCCAGGGGCCTCCAGTCTCCGGAGGTCCCCGGTCCCTGGAGTGGATCCTGGTCTCTGGGATGGACCCCGGTCTCTGGGACTCCCGGTCTCTGAGGTCCAGTTCTCTGGGAGGCCTCATCCCGAAAGGCGGCGCCCAGGACGAGGGCCCGGCGGTGAGGGCGGGCAGGCAGAAGGCGACCCCGCGCCCAGCCCAGGGTTACAGCCCCGGACCATCCCCGGAGACCGCGCCAAGGCGAGAGGCGAGAGTTGGCGAGGCCCCCCCCGGGCCGCCTACCTTGGCGGACGGCACCACCGTAATCTTCTTGAAGTTGTAGTGCGCCATGCTTGCTGCGGTTGCACGAGGGCTCTGGCACGACGGGCGGGACTTCCGCCGTCAAGCGGGACTTCCGCCGTCGGGCGCCGGTGGTACGTCACTTCCGGGCGCCGTGCCGGCCGCGTCGCACAGCGCCCCCGCCCGGCCCGGAGGTCCGCCGCCAAGGCCAGCCCGAGTAAGCTGGGGGCGCGCGGGGGGCGGGTCCGGCGCGTCGAGGGCGCGCGGGGAGGACGCGGCTTCGGGGGCGCGCGGGGAGGACGCGGCTTCGGGGTCGCGGAGGCGAAATCCCCGCTGGGCAAAGGCGGGGCTCCGGACCGGCCACCCTGGGGGTCTCTGGACGCGGTTCCGGGCCCTCAGCCGCGCGCCTGGGCCGGGGTTCGCGAGTCCGGGGTCCCGGGGTCTGGGGGTCCGGCGGTCTGGGTTTCGGGGTCTGGGGTTTCAGGGTCCCTGGGGCTTGGGGGGTCTAGAGGTTCGGGGTTCCCGGGGTCTGGGGACTTAGAGGCCAGAGGGCCCCGGGGGTTCGGGGTCCCGGGGGTTTGGGGTCTCGGAGGTTCGGGGTCCGCGAGTCTGGGCCCTCCGAGGTTTGGGGGTTCGGGGTCCAGGACTAGACCCCGGTGACGCCCAGTGTTTCAGCCGCCCCATAAACAATCATTCTTACAAAGGACGGCAAGGGGCCGACGTTCCCCACTAGGTAATGGCGATATAAAACGGCAGTGTGCGTGGGTCCCTTGGTCTGCTCGTCCGTGCAGGACAGGAGAGAAAACGCTCGTTAACGGGGACGAAAAAGCAACCCTGGGAAAGAACGCGTGTGAACATCCACGTCAGCCTAAATGTGAGAGGATTCCACAAATCCTGTCGATAAGAGCTCACAAGTCCTGATGTTTCTAGTTTTCCCAGGAATCTCGGGTCGTACCGGCCTGAACCTCTGGGCGATCGTTTCGGACCGCCCGGGGCTCGCCCAGCCCTGCCCCGAGCCGGCTGCCCGGGCGGGTCGCTCCGCCTGGGTGCAGAACGGGGAATAATGCGGGACCGGCGGACCGTGGGCGGCAGCTAGCCGGGTGCGCACACAGGAGCGCGGGCGAGAAGTAGGAGGCCTCGGTGTGCTGCCATCGCTGATAACGTTTTGTTCCGGAACCTCGCCGGGTACTAACAAGGGAGTGATCTGAGCACTGCCGTAAAGCGTGTTAAATGCCACGTTTCTAATAACATCACCCCTTAGAAAGCTGGGTCATGCACAAACCCGCAGTTCCGGGGGTGAGAACCGGCCGTGAAAAGAGACTTAAGGTACCTCCTCATTGTGTATCTGTGAGCGTGAAATTGGGAGAGGGTGGGGACCACAAAGCCACTTACCAGGAGCCGTCTGCTTTTTTTTTTTTTTTCTTTGAGGCAGAGTCTCGCTCTGTTTCCGGGGCTACAGTGCTGTGGCGTCAGCCTAGCTCACAGCGACCTCAAACTCCTAGGCTCAAGCGATCCTCCTGCCTCAGCCTCCTGAGTAGCTGG